GAATTCATTTCTAACTTATTATAATTTCATAATTTCTAAGAATGTTGTACTACCTAAATGTTCTATCTTGATGTTGCTCAAGTATGCACATGAAGACATGGAAGACATGGTGCTACAAAATGGCTTCGTCAAAAAAGTAGCTTGGACGGACAACCGGACCTAGGGAAAAGTAGCATGGACAGATGACCGGACCCCAGAGGGAAAAGTAACGCGTACAGAGGAGCGAACCTCAGAAAGAAACCGCCATAACTTTTGATTCCCAAAGTTATGAAGGTCCATGAGGACATTTTGGAAAGCTTATGAAATCTACTTTCCAATGGTACCAGTTACAAGTATTTTGGCATTCCCAATATTGAGATACATCTAGATTAGTGAAGACTACTCAGAAGGTCAACAAGTCTTCCCGGGACAGAATGTTGGTGCAAGTTTCTCAATAAAACTGTACCATTCTACAATGTTTCATGATGCATACTGCACATAGATGAAAAGCTTATTGAGTCTACTTTCACACCCAACAAACGGCTCGTCATTTTGACTTCCCACTAGGGAGTTACATCTCTTTTAGTGGAGACTGCTATGGAAACTGACAGCTGCGTGAAGACCCTTGGGAATCCATTTCGTGGAGACTGCTCTGGAAACTGCAGGAGGATTGATGGGTCACTTTGGATGGAGAAAGACATAGGAGATGTTGGCTGACCATTTCTATAGGCCAAAGATGAGAAGAGACGTTCAAAGACTTGTACAAAGATGCATCGCTTGCAACAAAGCTAAGTCAAAACTGAATCCCCATGGTTTATATACTCCCTTGCCTGTTCCTAGTTCTCCTTGGGAAGACATTAGCATGGTTTTGTTTTAGGTTTACCAAGGACAAAGAGGGGGAGGGATTCAATTTTTGTTGTTGTTGATCGATTCTCTAAAATGGCACATTTTATACCATGTCATAAAAGTGACGATGCTTCCCACATAGCTTCTCTATTTTTCATGGAAATTGTGAGATTGCATGGCATGCCCAAGATGACTATTTCAGACCATGACACCAAGTTTTTGAGCTACTTTTGGAAGACGGTATGTTCAAAACTCGGTACAAGGCTGCACATCTTGTGCCGGGAGCAGCGTTTGTTGATGGCAGGTGTAGCACACCATGAAGGTAGCCGTAGCCTTAGCGGATACACAAAAACATGGGTACGCAAATTCATTTATTTATTCTAACGCTCAATTCTGCATAATTTCTAATCATCTTGCATTTTTTCTCGTAGTCGGCGTCACATGGTGGCCAGCCTTGCTCCATATTCAAGGCATTTGCTATGGCCCACAAGGGCAAGGCGACGTCCGACGTCGACTACAACCCAAAGGACAGGCCCGAGGCGTACATCAATGCGACCGTCCACAACCGCCTTAGTGAGTACACATCGATGGCAAGGGAGGTCCATAGGATAGAGTACGATCCGAGCACCGAGGACCTTGATGGAGAAGTCGTCACGAGGGTGGGAGGAGGCAAGAAGCATGGGCGGTAATAGATTGGCGACGGCGCAATCGACTCGGCCACTACTCCCAGTCTCTCCCAGATTCGAGCAAGCAGCACGAGCAGGAGCCCGGCCATATGACCTCGGCAGGACACTTCACACCACCGGGTGGAGGCACTCAAGGTTATTCCTAGTTTATTCGTCGTTCATTGGTTTTTTCATACCTTTCCTTTGCATTATTGTAACATTGGGGTGAATATATTGTAGGCCCAGCTGGAACAAGAGAGGAGGATACGGGAGCAGATGCAGGCGAAGATGGAGAGGGTGGAGGCCGAGCGGGAGGCCGAGCAGTGGAGGATGGCGGAGATTCTTCAGTACATGCAAAGTCTTGGCGCCGCTACAGGTGTAGCTCCGCCACCTTCGCTATTCGCTCCACCTCTACCTCATGACTATTCTACTCTTGTGAGTATAAATGTTTTAGTTTGTATGTTCATGCTTATGGTCAAACCTAGTGGAGTATAAAAGTTGTATTTATGTATGGTATATATTTATCTTGTCTCACACATGCAATCTCTTCTCCTTTGTGCAGAATCAATCGGCGGCATCGAACGATCCTCCTGCTTCAACGAATCATTCACCAAATCAGTGATGATACTTGTGGTTGTAAATGATACTTCTATTTGCAATTGTGGTTGACGATGATGGAGCACTTGGATTGCTTGTGAACTCATTTGTGATATATTGTGAGACATGTGACGTTTGTGATATATATGTGGTGTTGGTGATATATATGTGATGTTGATGATATATATGTGATGTTGGTGATGTTTGTTATATATATCTTCTGTTTGTTTGGATGGGATGTAAAAAACAAATAAAAAGGCTGTTTTCAGTCACTTTGCCAAGTGCAATGGCCATGATGTTGGGAATATGCCCTAGAGATAATCATAGAGATGATTATATTGCCTTGTATCCATGATATATTATGAGTTCATTGAATTTCCATTAAAGACAACATGTATCGATTAGCAATTATGTGAATTGTTTGTGAAACTCTTTTACTTGTATGATTATTCTAATGTTGTCCCTGGTCAGAGTTCGTGTGAGGACACACACGAATAATGGATCAGCACATTGTTAGTTGATGACTATGTTTCAAAAGTCATAGACATGGAGATGTCAAACTAATAATGTGGGCACAATTATGACATGGGGCTGGACTGACCCAACGTGAGATGTCGTTATTATCTCTATTCACATCATGTACGTTATGTCCTTAGACCTGAGATTGTTGTATGTATTCAAGATGTGAAACGACCTACTTAGGGACTATCAAACGCTACTCTGTAACAGGGTAGTTATAAAGGTGGTTTTTGGGTTTGTTGGGAAACATGCTTTGAGACATAGACAATCAAGATGGAATTTGCCCCTCTCTATATATGAGAGAGATATCACTGGATCACTCTAATGATTAGATCAAGAAATGCATGGCCATGCTTGGGTTAAGTGTTAACCTATGAGTTGGACCAAATATCGTGAGGCAAGGGAATAACAAGTATGTGGTTTTGTGGTGGTTCGTCTGATATGATCTTTGCGTACACATGGGAGTTGACATGCCTTGCTAGAGGCCGCTATCAACTAATGGCCAAGTAGGAGTACTCGGGCCATGTCTATGTGTGCGTGAACCCATAGGGTCGCACGCTTAAGGGGCTGGAAGCCTAATTCGGATTGGATCCAAATTAGACAAGGCTTAGGGTTACTTATGGGCCTTCAACTCGGGAGCTCATTAGGGACGCCTATAAATATGTGGGTGGGCAACAGGGCTAAGCAATCCATGCCTTTTGGCAGTCGTTGCCCATCCTACGCCCACGCCTGCTGCTCCTCGCGGACCTAGCAGTCCGAAGGCGCAATGCTTCCTCCCTGTACGTGTGGATACCTCGGAGGTGCTGCATCTGGAGCACAAGGACGAACCACACGAAGGGGACGGACGAACGGATGACCTCGCAACTGCACGGCATTGCTACGATGCGTTCGACTACATTGAGTCGCTTCCGTTGCACCTACGCGTCTAGTGGTAATCCCGTGATCTATAACTAGCAGTAGATCCTAGTTTATGAGGTCGAAATTTTTGTTTTCCGGCTAGCGTAGCATCCTCATATCCCTGCAGTGGTATAGAGCCGTTACTATGTTGTTATAGGTTTGGATGAGTGCGTATGGAGATATGCGCGGTTGTAGATGAGTCTCTGATCATGGTTCGTGATTTTACCGTGTTGGTCTTGTAACGATCTACTCGTATCGGTCGGAATTCCACCATCCGAGTTAAGTGATACATGTAAATCCAGTCATGGCAAGATGGAGATCAATTAGATTGATCGAATTGAACCTAGGTCAAGTGCCGAGCGCATGTGATGCGCAATGGTGATAGATTGGATCTACTGCGGGGCGCCGGGGTGCAAGAAAAGTGTTGTTCGGTAAAATAGCAATAACTTTTGCATACGACCTCGGATTGAGACGAATTCTATATGAAAATTGTAGAGAAAAAAATTTTACATCCGATTCTCACCCGCTTCGCTGGTTTCGCTGAAATTAGATTTGTGAAAAATGGCCAGGAAGATGGTGCTTTCGGCGTTTTAAGATTAGACGTCGGAATCGGTTAACTCTGTTTTGCAGGAATTTGTGACTGGTATAGCCCTTATGTGTATGTGATGCATGTATGTAATTAATTCATGGCTTGCATGCCGTGAGTATGACAATATGGCTGGAGCCACTAAGATATTGTCAAATTGATGTAATGGCCTACGTGCCAAACTGTGATGATCCTATCCGCGACTATGTAATCTTCTTCACTGCCATGCGTTAGTGATAGCTAGTCTTGGTGGACTCATCACTGAAGGATGGCATACATGGATCATGGAGATGGAGATCATCATGAGGAACAGTTCGATGGAGATGGAGATCCCCAAAGGAACATTGGGCTATACCATGTCATATCTGTGTTAATGTCGTTCTTACTATGTTCTACTTTCATGTGCGATAATGTTTTTGTCTACATGCGATGGTGAAGTAGAACGATCCCTCAGCAATGTTTAAGTTAAAATGCTTCCCCAAACCTTGCACTGTCATGTGTCTTGTACAATTGGTGGTGGGTCTATGAAATTAGGGTGCCACTGATTTTCCTTGACTAGACAGGTTCGTATCGGATACTTACAACAGAAGGGTTGGTTACTTGGACAAGGTCATCCTAACGGTTAGGGACCTTGGAGCATGAGTAGTTGGGCACCAAAGCATAGAGATGCTACCCAACAACAAGAGTCATATGTGATATGATTAGCAAAGAGTTGCTTACCAATCTACCATGTCTTCTAGCGGTGATGCTAAAGCTCACTAGTAGACTTGTTAGTTGTGGGTCTTGAATCACTAAATTTCAAGAGAGGGATATTGATTTTAGTGGGAGTAGATTCTATTAAAGGTTTAATATTGTTTACTCTATCTTGGATACATTGTCTTAGTATTTTGCATTACTTTTGTTGTAGATAAATGGCACCTAGCAATCAACCATTTACTTTGCCTTCAATTCTTGAGAAAGATAAGTTGAATGGAACAAACTATGCGGATTGGATCCGCAACCTGAGAATTGTTCTCAAGGCTAAGAAAAAGGAAGAAATTCTAGACACCCCATTACCAGATGAGCCTGCTGATAATGCACCAGCTGCAGAGAAAAACGCTTACAAGAAAGCATGTGATGCTGATCTTGAAGTGAGTTGCCTTATGCTTGCTTGTATGGAACCAGATCTGCAGTTGCAGTTTGACAATAACCATGCAGCGCACGATATGATCGTGGTGCTCAATGATATGTTCCAGACTCAAGCCAGGACTGAAAGGTTCAATGTCTCAAAGGCTTTTGCTGAAACCAAGCTAGCAGAGGGCGCAACAGTTGGGCCACATGTGATCAAAATGGTTGGTTACACTCAGAGGTTGGAGAAGCTGGGCTTCCCAATTGGCCCTGAATTAGCTACTGATTTTATTCTCGCGTCTCTTCCGCCCAGCTATGGAAATTTCGTCATGAACTACCATATGCATGGGGCACAGAAGGGCTTGAATGAATTATGTGGCATGCTTAAAACATCAGAGGCTGATATCAAGAAAGGTGCTGGCAGTAGCCATGTGATGGCGGTCCAAAACAAGCCTAAGTTTAAGAAGAAGGGCAATTCTTGGAAGAAGAAAAAGGGCAAGGCTAAAGATGAGATCTCTAAGCCAAACCCACCTGCACCCAAGGCTGGACCACCTGCTGATGGTGAGTGCTTTCATTGTCATGGGAAAGGTCACTGGAAGAGGAACTGCAAGCTGTACCTAGAATCCATAAAGGATCGCGGCAGTAAAGGTACTCCCGCAGCTTGTACACTTGTTGTTTATGTTACGGACATTTTCCTTGCTAATTCATATATTAATTCTTGGGTATTTGATACCGGATCGGTTGCTCATTTTTGCAATACGATGCAGGGAATGATAAGAAGTAGAATCGTGGAAAAGGGAGAAGTTTATTTCTGCGTGGGCAATAATGCAAGAGTTGCTACGTTGAACGTCGGGACGATGCAACTCCACCTCCCGTCAGGATTTATTATGGAGTTGAATAATTGTTATTTTGTTCCTAGTTTAAGTCAAAACATTGTGTCACCTTCATGTTTGATGAAGGATGGTTATTCATTTGCGAGTAAAGACAATGGTTGTGTGATCTCTAAAAATGACATGTTTGTGGCTTCTGCATCCATTGTGAATGGGTTATTTATTTTAAATCTTGAAGATGCTCCTGTCTATAATATAAGTGCTAAAAGGCCTCAGCTTAATGAGTTAAGTCCTACCTATATGTGGCATTGTCGTTTAGGTCATATAAGTGAGAATCGCATGAAGAGGCTCCATTCTGATGGGCTTTTAACTTCATTTGATTTTGAATCATACGAGACATGTGAGGCTTGCCTGCTGGGCAAGATGAACAAGATGCCTTTCACAGGTTTTCCTGAGAGGGCGGCAGACTTGTTGGAACTCATACATACTGATGTGTGCGGACCAATGAGTACGATAGCAAGAGGTAGATTCCAATACTTCATAACCTTCACTGATGACTTTAGTAGATATGGCTATGTCTACTTAATGAAACATAAGTCTGAGACATTTGAAAAGTTCAAGGAGTTTCAGAGTGAAGTAGAGAATCAACGTGGCAAGAAAATTAAGGCTTTGCGATCTGATCGTGGAGGCGAATATTTGAGCCACGAGTTTAGCAATCATCAAAAGAGTTGCGAAATTGTTCCACAGCTTACGCCACCTGGAACGCCTCAGAGAAATGGCGTGTCCGAGCGACGTAATTGGACTTTGTTGGAGATGGTTCGGTCTATGATGAGCCAGTCAGACCTACCGTTATCATTTTGCGGATACGCTCTAGAAACAGCCGCTTTCACATTGAATAAGGTACCATCTAAGTCAGTAGTTAAGACACCACATGAGATGTGGACTGGTAAGAGTCCCAGTTTGTCTTTTCTAAAAATTTGGGGTTGTGAAGTTTATGTCAAACGAATTATGACAGATAAACTAACACCCAAATCAGACAAATGCTTTTTCGTGGGATATCCGAAGGAAACTTTAGGGTATTACTTCTACAACCGATCAGAGGGTAAAGTGTTTGTTGCTCGAAACGGTGTTTTCTTAGAGAAAGTGTTTCTCAAAAGAGAGAAAAGTGGATAGAAGGTGTATCTTGAAGAAGTTCAAGATGAGCCAGTTGGGAAGGACTCTACGAGTGATGCTAATGTAGCAGAACAAGTTGAGATACCCGTGGCAATAGAAACACCGCCACAACCATGAAGGTCAGCAAGAATCCATGAGTTGCGTGGGGATTTGTTTGTAACACCCGCGGTGTTTGGCTTCTACTAATTGCATTTCATCTCATAAACATGTGCATCATCTACCTCATCATGCCATTATCACTGAAACATACATATGCAACATTTTAAATTGTATGTGTTTCCTGCTTGATTGCTTAGAGTGGTAGTAGTGCAACATGTGAATGTAACATGAAACTCTTATACTTGGAAACATGGCAAAATGGTAGTAATGTGACAAGCATAGGATAACAACCAGGTCATGCAACATGTGAAACATTGTATTGAAACATATGAGTGAATTGCTTGTTTTAATTGCTGTATCACATGTGATCATTAGAAGTGGTAGAACAACTTGGTAAAGTGGTTGATCATGGTCTAATACACCTTAACTATACTTAGGGTAATTGTTTGGACATTGTTCATGTGGACCAAAATGACCAAATTGCCCTTTTGGAGAGGTTTGACTTTTAATGACCCTTAGGGTGACACCTTTGTTTGACTGATTCAAAAGACCAACTTGGAAGCTTTGCATGGCTATGCACTCTTTACAAAAGTTGTAGCTAATTTATCAAGGAACAAAAGTTGTTTTATGACCATCTCATGAAAATGGCTAGAACATGCTCAAACATGGCCCACAAGTCAGAAATACATGCTGATTGCAACACCGAAAAAATATGCTAAGTCTTAATCGCATTTCAGCTTGCATCGAGCTCACTTTGGCTTCGTGTAACTTCGGATCCATGGCGTGTTAGGTGTTGGTCATTGAAAAGAAATTGTAGAGGGAATATAGGTCTACAACTTTGATGTTCAATTCTTCCACTAACTCGTCACGGATTAGGAGTAAATCATTGTCATTGTCAAAGTATGCCAAAGCGTCGCCGGCTTTAGTAATCGAATCGTGTTTTTCAGAAAATCTTCAGTACCGCCGTGGCCGACCGTTTCAGAAAAATGACGCCGCGTGTCCGCCACCCATCGCCGCTCGAGCCAAGATCTGGCCACGCATTGCGCGCAAGTCATCAAGCCGGCGCATCGCGCTTTGAAGCCACCCCCCCGCCCCGCCCGCCGAGTCGCTGCTCCATTTCGCATTTCCCCTCCTTCCTCCCGGCAAGATGGCGGCGGAACGCCGAAGCACCGCCGAGCCATTTCCACCCAAAACCGAGCGCCATTGCCCGATTCATCCCTGACGTAGCACCACCGTGAGCTCCTCCACGTCCGTGACCCCACCGCCACTCCATTTTCGCCTCAGGTAGCTCTCACCGTGAGCGCGGCTCCACCGGGTCGCCATGACCGCCGCCGACCGAGCTCGCATGTGGCCGTGCTGCTCGAGCCCCTTGCCATCCCATCCCTCCCTTGCATTAGCTGCTGCGTGGGCTACTGATGCTAGGAGAGCGGGCCATTAGGGCCGAGGCGCCGTCGTCTCGCCAGAGCCGGCCATGTTGCTGGTGTTGTCTTGGCGCCGTGCTCGCCGCCACCCCTCTAGCCACTTCCTTAGCTGCAATTGATGGTTTCCCTAGGTTCGTTAGGGTGAGGCGAACGCATTGGCACCATTGCCTTTCACGGAGGAACCACCGGCGTGAGTTGCGCCGCCGCTGCCCTCCGCTCCCCCGCCTGCCTCATTGCCACACTGGGACCCTTACTGCCACCGCCGAGGCCGAGAAGGGAGCCAGCACTGGGCCAAGGCCGTGTGTTTGGGACACTGGCGCCGCTGTCTTGGGCCACTTTGTGTGCTCATGGGCCGCTTTCTTTGGGCTGGCCTGTAGTAGGGCTGAGTGTTGTTTTCCTATTTTGTTTTGTTTATTTATTTCACAGATTTATGTACATCTTGAAAAATATGTAGCTCCTAGTATATAGATCCAAATGCTATGGTTCTAATTTTGTTGAGTTCCTAGTATTGTCTAGTATTTAACAAAAATAGTATATGAGCACATGTTTTAGAAAAATTGGATGAATTAAATAGGAGTTTGAAATGTGTTTTTAGATGCATGCAAATTTGTTTGAATTTTATCTTGAGTTTCTGTGGTCCAAAAATTATGAAATTTTGTGGGCAGTCTATTATTGCTTATTAGAAGCTCTAGTAAAAATTTCAGAGCTAGTCCATGTGTAGTTTTTAAGTTATAGAATTTCGTTTTATTAATAGGTGGATCTTGTGTGAATTTTCATAATTTTTCTATAGATCCAGTGAAGGTGAAATTTTATGGGTGCTATTCTTATGCTAGAAGTATGCTAGGAAAAATGGGAAATCTGTTGCTTGACACTTTTTAATAAGGTTTCCTAATTATGCTAAAATTGGACATGCCACCTGTTATTTTGGATACAGCAAGATATGTTTTCCCAATGGCTTTGAAATTTTTATGGTAGTCTATGTGAAGCATGAGATAGCTACTGTAATTTTTGTAGATTTTTCTGAACAGTTTTACTATATATTGCTTTACTCACCTAATTAATTAAATAAATTAGAAAAGGGTATTAAATAATTTATTTAGAAGTTGACACTATACTTTCTGAGGTTTATTAGGTATGCAAAACAAGTTGGTAAACTTGGTTTGATCAAAGTATGCTTTTGCACAATCATTAAATAATTAAGTGAGTAACCCCGTCATTCTGGACAGATTCTAGGTCTACTGGAATTTGATTTGGTTAACTTCAGAATCATGCTTTGATGTTTACAAGTGAATTGTAGATAATTTCATAAGCTTTCCAAAATGTCCTCTTGCAAGTCATTTGGAGTTATAGAACTCTGGTTATGATAGAATTAAGTTACTACTTGTTGCATATGAAGCTTTAACTGTTATTTTAAGTATGTCTTTACTATTCTAAGTTCATGGTACTGTTCCTAGGTGTTAGGGCCTTTAACTGAAGATGAGCATCTTTATCTTAGGTTATGCAAGTTAGGTAAGTTGCTCTTGTTATTTAAGTTAAGTTGGATACATGCTTAAAGTGATTTGAATAGAGCTAATTACTCAGTAAGCGAAAGTGTCCAAAGTGATGTTTTCATAAACACCCATTGTGATTCATTCATCATGAGCATCATGTCATTCCTTATGCATCCATGATATTTATCTTGTGCATCGGCATGCAATAGGTGTACCGGAAGGAGTAACCCTGCTGGAATTGAGGAATCGAACGAGCAAAGAGTGTACCGACACCGGAGATTCGTGGAGGAGCAGACCTTCAGAGAAGTGCCGACGAGGTCGCCGTTGAGTGCCCCGACCACCGCCCTTGCAACTTTGTGAAAGGCAAGCCCCGAGCATATTAAGCCTCCTATTTTCCGAACTGCGATTACATATTATTATTACATATATTGTTGCATTAAGTTTAGGTGTTGGATGCAAACACTTGTCGCATTGGTTACCCATTCCTTGTCCGAGATATTGTTACCCCGAATCCTATGTAGCTCAAAGCTCGAGTAGTGCTTAGCCCCGCTTAAACGCTGGTAGAAGTCGGTGATTTCCTATCACTGCGAGATATAGGAAGATACATGTGGCACGGTTGGCTATATTTGCTATCGTGGAAAAGAAACCATCTTAATTTGAAATGAAGACCGGACGGAGGCTTGTCGGTTTGTAGTGACTCCGTCTCGTGTCGCTTAAGGACTGGATCTTGGAGCCTTTCTGTTCATGTTGAACGATGCTCTCTCTTAGTTG